ACTTTTACCGGTACTTGAACATCGACAACAATACGCAACATATTCATTTATAAGACAGACCCCCACACAACCTGCTCGCAAGTGGATGTTTGTCATTTTTAGAAGATTTCTCAATTGCTATATCCAGACTGGAAATAAACAGGGTCAGAATTGAAGAACTGGTCTACCTTTGTCCTAACTCTAAGTGAAGGAGGCACGGTGGAGTAATGGATAGCGGCTTGGATTGAGGAGTTCCAGTCGAATTCACTTACGTGCTAATACCTTTGGGAAAGGTGTGAATCCTCTTCTCCCTCCAGCAATGGGTAAATAGCAGGACAGACAGGGTTCTATAGCCTTGGATGGCAAATGGTCTAGGAGAAGGAAAAACTCTGAATTCAAAACCTGCGGAGGGCCGTTTGGAGACCTTGTGGCACATAGTGTACCAGGTCTCTGTAATCGGCCCTTCAAAAAGTGTGGCTGGTCCTGCACGAAACCTTCACCACTATAATCAAATCTCATGTGCTATACATGCGGGTTTGGGGACCGCTTGTGAATTCCAGATTCCCATGAAACTCCAATATTGGAGCCGGCTCAACCCACCCCGTACAGGTAGGTAACTCTAAGTGTTTGTCAATTTATGATAGTTTGAAATAAATCAAAACTCACACATGTTCGATAATATATTTTTACAGGCTTAGTTCTGGTGAGTTTCTTTTTGCCGGGGAAGTCATTGATATCTTGTTGAAATGAATGTCATAACTGAAAGACAGGTTTAATGTGACACTGTTTAGCAAAACTGACTTATATCAAGTGGATTTGCGAGGCCTACAACACCTAAGTTAGATCAACACATTTTTGCTATATTTCTCCTGCATTTCTGTGCCGGCTTTTAATAGAATAATGTAATATTTATCATTTACAAATTTATAAAGAAAGAAATATGAACAGAATTTTAAATTTATAAATATTTACGAAATTATTAAAATATGTGAACGAACTATAATTAATCTTTATATTTAATTAATTCATCAAGTCTGATAGAAACCTCTACAAAATGTAGAAAGCACTGGACGGCCGTTTCATCCTATATTTGGGACTCATCAGCAGTGCGCATCCACTACCGAGAATTGAAACCCTCACGGTTAAGTTGTCAAGCAAACATCATACCAACTGCTTCCATGGGCCTCGGTAACGAAGAGATTGCAAATCAGACTCAATATAACGCCGCTCGCTCACATATCCCGTGGTGGAACTCTGAGTTTCTCTGTAGGACTGTGCCCCCTGGAGCCACGACTACTCTCACCAAGCCGCTCACTCTAGAGCATTAGAAGCCGGTTCAAGCAATGATATACACAGATAGTAATTATTAGGATTATTAATTAATCTTTATTATTTACTATTTTATAAAGTTCGAATCACTTACAACACATAATCCGTCACAAATCCAGTTCAAATTTGTGAAGAAACTGTCCAAAGTTCACAGTGGTTTTTTTTGTTCGAGTAATTTTCACCACCTCTAATTATTATCAAAAACGTTAATCATTAATGTTATCAGTTACATTACAAGAATGAAATGTTTCGTTAGCGTCATCCCGACTTTGTTGAGAATACTATAATTCTAATTTTTTTTTTAACAATGAATAAATTTATTGAAACAAAACAAGTTCAGTTGACCGCTGATGACAATTCCAGAACAACGTAACTATAAACAATTTTTTTGGCTATCCTCTGCCAGCCGAAATGATGGTGAAAGCATTACCTCGAACCATGGCCAGTGAGACACGCTGCAAGAGCCACTCCGTTTCGCGAGGCTCGTCCCTTAATCGAGACGCATTCGTGCCAATCCCCCGAAGGAACGCCATCGAACGAGGGCCAATAACCCCTGAAGTCTCCACTGCCACAGCAGTAAAAAAAAAATCTATCAGCAAGAGAAAAATATTTAACTATTTTTAGCACATAATTAAGTTAGATTGATACATTTTAACCTGCATTTCTGTGCCAACTTCAAATAACGCTAACAAAAAACAAAAAACAAAAAAATGCCCGAGACAACTAACTTTCTCTCTTAATGCAAGCATTTTGTATGGAACACACTAACGCGTGTTAAAATCCTCACAGTATTTAGTATTGTTGAAGTTATCGCTAACATTTTTTTGCCAATTTCATAAAACAATCGATGAAACTTGAATAAGCTGATATGTTTTGAAAAATACTTTGACAAAAACCATACTTCGCAGTTTAATAATTTCTTTAATTTAATTTTATCAGACTTCATGGTAAACTATATTTTTTTAAAGAAAATTTCCTTTTTTCCGGTTTCCATTTTAATAGCGAAGAATAATTTCTTAGGATTTCTTACTCTTGAGCCTACAACATACAACTGTCCATGCGTAAATATTTCTTCCTGGAACCAAATTCCAGCTTGAAGCGTTTGGCCTTGTGATTTGTTTATAGATTTCGCAAACGCAGGGTGAACTAAAAATTGGGTTATTATATAAAAAGACTTAAAGAAAAGATATGCAATATTTGTTATTTTAATCATTAAATTGTTTTTAAAATAGAGCGAGCGTTTTGTATGTTAAATAATAAAACTTTTAATTTTTCCCAAAACAATGAATTAAAATTTATTGTATCAAGCTACGCACCATAGTAAAACCAGTGCATAGGTTGGTCCGAAAGACTTGTCACTCCTATGAAAAAATAGCGAGAACAATAGAACAAGTAATACAGTAAATACAAGGCACATGTACTGGATTCAGTTTATTCGCTTTCATTGACGCTCTCACATATCGAGAAGAGTCTGTATGAACAACCATCATTTTAGTGGCACAAAATGATGCGGCGTCATGTCTTCTGCGATATTTTACGAAGTCGTGCTTCGTTGATTGTTGCAAAGGCTCTCTAAAAGACATGCTTCAATTGATGGGTATTCTGGTTATCATTCATGTGAACTCTCTCTTTGATAATTCCCCCACAGAGCGTTGAAATAGAAAATTATATTATGTAGGGGGCGACAAGGCTTTCGGACCATCCTCTTACCAGTTTGCACTTCCCCACAAAATTTGTTTTCGATCGGTCCATGTATGGCTATTTTAGAGGGTGTGACGGACAGACGGGCGGAAGTCACAGAATTTTATATATAGATAAGTAGACTAAAACAATTAAAATGTGCAAAATGTAAGAAAATTATTTTCGGGAAATTATTTAAAACGTATTTGATTCCTTGTGTATGAAACGTTAAACTGATCATTATCCGCTTTAGGGACCATATGCCGGGTACTAGATATTAATTTTCGACATAACTTCCTCTGTATTTATCAGAAAATCGTGATCTAGATTTTTATTCTTGTTTTTATGGGATAATTAATTCATTTCAGACATTGGATATCCTCACCCCCCCTCCCAAATGTCTAAATGGGTTAAAAATTTACGTTATTTTCGGAAATTTTGTCTCTTCGCTGTAAACCAGAGTTTGTAGATTTAAACCCTTAATTTTCAATTAGAAATGTGAACGTTTTGTGTAACTCTTCCTCTTAATTACAAATAAACATTAATACAATTTCATAATTTAGCTGAAAATGATTCAGGGTCTCAAAAATCACAAATGTCCGCTTGTACGAGGCAACTGTGCTCCAAATAATGATGGATATTTGAAGTATTTATTCAATTTTATTTAGTATAGACATAAAAACAAATGGAGGGGGTGGTCAATGGAAGATCACGTTGAAACAATGCTCCAAGTGGGGAGGACTTGTTTTGAAAAAACAAAGCAAACAAGATTCGAAATTCGAAGCTTTTAATCGTTAACCTCGAGCACTAACAACGGCCTGTCAGTTGAAATCAGGATTACGCTATTTGCAATCCCGTGCAGAGGAATAGTCCTGCACAAAACGAGACATCTGTTTTCAGCATTTATGTTTACTAAATGTATGTCTACTTTTCTGAATATCATGAAAACAAAACCTATTTCTACCTTTTCGCCTCTCGTACAAACCTTTGTCTCACTTTTCGCCTCTCGTACAATTCAAATCTACCTTTTTGACTCACGTGCAAACCAAACTAGTTTCTGACTTTTTTTTAATTTCGTGCATACCAAATTTATATTTTTTTGACTCTCGTGCTGACTAAACTTATGCATATCTTTCTATTGTTTAGCAAAATGACAGAATTCGATATTAAAGAAGCTAAAATGTTTTATATACTCTGATTCACCAAACTAAACTAAATCGAGTACTAACGGCATTATTAGGACGTCGCAGCTACAAGGGAAAAGAAAGTCGATATCTACTAAGTTTAGATTAGACTAAACATTAGATTACAATCAAGGTGTATTTTGTGAGTATCGAACTCACTACATTAACACCACGAGACTCCTTCGTTAACAATAGCTTTACGACAGGCGCCTCAACTGACTACGTCCGCTGTGACCAAGCGAGACGCGCTCGTTAACCATTGCTTAGGGCCAGTCAGTATGATTGCTTTGTTTATAGCAATTTATCAAATTATATTGGTTTTAAACAGTGAAATATAGGGAAAGGAAATTTAACGTGGCTAAGTATGTGTGAAAGGCTTCTTTTTTTTTTTTTAAGTGACCCAACCCTATCAGTAAGCACTCTAGGTAGCCCAAGGCCATATTTACTGCGAATTCGTACCTGACCCTTCATCTCTGACAAAATGTCGCCAGTTTTATGAATCCATTACTTACCTGGTTGATGACCTTTGGCTCCTTTTTTTTTCTCGAAAAACTGCGACAGAGGTAAGTAAACTAAAACAAAGAAAAAGAAAAAAAAAAGGAATTAGACATCGGTCGGTTAAAGAAGCAAAAAGACACGTGGGAACGAAAAGTGTAGACGGGCAAAGGTCCAAAACAACAAAAAAAAAAAAAACAAAAAAAAAAAACAAAACGAAAACACGAAAACAAAAAAATTAAAAGGATTTCAACTCGGCCGCCATTTCTCCCTTTTGATTTTAATGTTCCTGTCATAGTTCAGTGAGGTCCATACGAGACAACTCCTCGGGCGATGACACTTTCATTCCTCCCCACAAAACAACAGTCATTTAAGACATTGTTTCATCTCGTTAACGACAATTCAGTCTCTGTTTTCTATTCCCTCCACTCTCCCGAACTAGTTTTCCTTTTCTTTCCGTCCCTTGACGAGACAAGCGTTCTTTTCGCCGCCATTTGTCTTTTATTTTCGACTAGACAGAGAAACTAAATGCCTCGCGACTACTCATAGTTTTACTTTGCGACTAATCAAAGTACAAGAACAAACAACGCCAAAAAATAAACAACCTGCTTGATATAAATACTAGCACAAATGCTAATTGATACCTCCCACCAAAACAAACTGTAATCGCAGAAGCGCAAATACAATGACTGTCCCAAACGTAACGAAGAATTAAAAAAAAACAACAAATATATGTCCTTTGTTAATTACTTTTATTAATATATTTTAAAAATAAAATTTAAAGTAAGATGGAGGTCCTGAAAAAGATCATATAACCAAACAGAATTATTTTGGAAGTGCTTGTTTCTTGGTCGATGCAAAAATCTTTCTACTTTATATATATATATATATATATATATATATATATATATATATATATATATATATATATATATATATCACTGTTTATATGTTATTTTATAGATACAAATATTTATGAACAATATTAACTACATTTACTGGCCTGAATGTTCGAGAAATATCATAGAAAATATATGTCCTCCAACGTGTAGCCTACACAGACAGGTCACTTGGTCTGATGTGCTATACCATTTAGCTACAGAGGAAGCATCTGGTTAGCATACTCAAATTACTGTTTTTAAACATATTTTTCTACGATGTTTCTCAGATATTCAGGCCGGTAAATGTAATTAATACTGTTAAGTATAAACAGAGGATTTACTTGAATATTTGCATCTATAAAAATAACGTATAAACAGAAATATATATTAAAATAATTGTCGGACTTAGCCCTATTTATATATATATATATATATATATATATATATATATATATATATATATATAGCCTTCCTTCATTATAAGCAAATGATATATACGAATAGCCTGGTTGTTTAGTTATATGAAGTGGGTTGATGTACACACATATTGCTGTACGTTAATAATTTACCCGCGCCCAAAGCAAAGCAGTAATGCTACTAAGATACAAGGGGTTACTGAGTGTGAAAGAAAAAGGAAAACATTACTAAGGAGACAGGAGATAACGATTGGCATTGCATTTAAAAATTTGAAGATCAAAGTTGAAGCCGGAATAGAGTCCCACATGCGTGAAGTGTGAGAAAAGAAACTGTTAGCATAGAACTTACGGTTGCATTTAGCCATTTCAAATGTAAAATGTGATTCATCAGAAAAAATTCTATGAACATATTTATAGAAAAGGCACAGGGAAGCTACTTTACAGCGGTGGGAAAATGACTGAAACCGAGATGCCAGGTCAGGAATAATAATATTGCAGATGATTCTTTGGATTTTATCGAGAATCTCTCTCTCTCTCTCTCTCTCTCTCTATATATATATATATATATATATCAGGAGCACCAGACCATATGTGACAGCCATATTCGAAGCATGGACGAATGGTAGACTTATAAATATGCAAGATAGATTCCCGACATAACAAAAAAAAAAATGCCTAGCATGGCATAGGGAACCAATTTTCCTAGCAGCAGACCAAGTAATACATACAAAATACGTGGAAAACGACGGGAGAGTCGATAATCAAATTTTAAAATGACTAACGTATCCAAAGATTCCAATATAAAGTGGCCTTGAGATATTCTTAAGCCGCAAAATGGCATGAGCGAAATATTCGCAATTAAAGCGGTTCAATAGTAACAATTTGGTTAATATTGTTTACTTCGCTTTATTCATTACTTACTTCATTTTATTCCTAAACTGTGATCTAAATGCTAAGGTCGTCGCCACTTCTGTGACAAAAGCCATGATCAAAACAAACGTTTTTTTTAAAGATTAGAGTGGAAATGAATAATAATAATAATGTTATTTTTAAAAATTTTATTTTAAAAGCTGAAAATGCAAATTAGCTTTCTCCATTAAGCAAGTATCTCTAAGTTGGGCAACATGTGAAAAACATACTGGTAGACATAAATGATAAAAGCACACAGTTTTGATTAAATTTGTATCGGTTGAAACACACACAAGCTTAATACTTAACATGCATATAATATTGTCTATGTGTCACCCACACTCTCTTCCTCTATGTATTTATAAATAGAGTAATGGCTAAAGGCTCGGAGCGAGATTTCGAATTCCGGTCGAGTCCATTACACAAATACACTAGGGAAAAGTGCTAATCCATGCCTTCTCCCTACAGCTATGAGTTAGGGAAGATTGGGTTTTCTAGCCGTGGTTAACTATTAGTCTATGTTAATGACAACTCTCAATTCAAAACCGTATGTAGCTCCGGTGAAGCAGGTACTATATACCCATAGAAAGGACTATGACGTTCACAATTGTTCTGCGGTTTGTCTGCCTGTTATGGGACCTTACCCATAATAACATAATGAACTATTCCATACATAATAAATACTGCGCCTCAAGAGGAAGCAGGGAGTTCAGCCTGAAGTCGGGCGACCGGCTGATCGGTTGAAATCTCTGCCTTCGGGCGGGGAGGAACCCGAACAAGGCTACGCCGAAGGGCGGAGTCTCTTTCGGGGAGGTAAACCGTTTATACGGGTTCAAAGGGCATATTTTTGGCCGAGTCCACGGGCTCGGAGATCCCACGTTAAACCGACCTTGTGCCACATGATGCCCTCGTGGGGGAGGGTAACTAAATACTGCACAGGTCTGAAGTCTGGACTGAAGTCCGTCAGGAGTCTGTCAGTCAGTCAGAGCGAGTCAGTCAGTCGAGTCAGTGGCAGTCCGAAACAGAGTCGCGTTCAGACAATTACTACTAAACCTGATTGTTCGTACTAACACTTTCTACCTCTCTGTATATATTCCTGTTCGTAATATATCTGTGCTATTCCATATCCGTGTTCGAGTTCTTCTTTATTGGTTCTACCTTGGACTATCACCGTGGTACAAGGAACCGGACCATAACAGTATCTATCCATCTCTCTCATCACATATATATATATATATATATATATATATATATATATATATATATGAAGAAATATACTCTTAAGATGTGCTATATTTATGGGATAAAGTGCTCAATATCAGAGATAGAGCGTGTGTAAATATAAAAGTGAACATAGAAGTCAACACTTAGAGGCGACAGTCTGTTTCATGCTAGATGCAATCGTCAGGCCACGAGTGCTGTTATTTTTCTCGGCTATTTATATATATACGGGTCAGTGGTGCATTATGGGTAGTCTAAACGACTTCCGGTAAAATAACTGCCAAAATAGACTACCCACAATGCACCATAGGCTAAATACATTCTTATTGTTCAAATTAGAGTCTAACAGTGTTATAAAAACCTTGGAGAATTCCAGTAAGATATCTTTAATCATTTCTAAGATACAACGGTTCAAAGCCTAATCTATCAGTTGGACAATTTTACTGTTACACTCGGTATATATATATATATATATACCGAGTGTAACAGTAAAATTTATATATATATATATAAGTGGACACTGAAGTTAACATGCAGAGGCGACAGTCTGTTTCATGTTGAATCTTTCTCGACTATTTATATATACAAATCCCCAAAACATTTTTTATTAGGTTAATAAAACATCGAAAGCCGAAAAGAATAAATAAATATATAAAAAAAAAAATGAACATAAAAACAAGTAAAATAAATTAACCGAAATAAATAAATAAATAAACAAGCCACTCCCGCCATAATAACCGCCAGAATAGATTACCCACAATGCACCACTGACTCATATATATAAATAGTCGAGGTAAAATTCAACACACGCGGCCTGATGATTGCCTCTAGCATGAAACAGCCTGTCGCCTCTGAATGTTAACTTCAATGTTCACTTTTATATATATATATATATATATATATATATATATATATATATATATATACGCTCTATCTCTGATATTGAGTACTTTATCCCATAAATATGGCACACTTTAAACTATATATATATATATACAGCACATTGTGTGCTGGTGTTAATAAAATAATGCTCGATTGAAAATAACGGCGCTATAAATTATATATTAATAATAAATATCCATTTTTTCGTCATCGGTAGCACAACTCTGCACTTCATACAAAACACAATCTTCTGGTGCTGGATGAAGTTTGATCGTTACGTAATTTAAATAATAAATTATGCATAATAGGATTATCCTAATAGTGGAGCAGTCCATATTATTTACGGGGATTGTTTAAAACAAAAAATATATATTTAAAATAAGTGGGAGGGGCGAATATGTAAAACACAACCTATATTTCAGGCTACGAAAGTTGAAAAATAAGTTAAATATAAATATACATATCTAAGTAATTATAAAAATAATACGAAGGTACACACAAATATGGCACATCGACATATGTAAATTATATATATATATGTGTGTGTGTGGTTACGTATGAATAAGCAGATTTATAAAAATATTACTGCTTGTATCTATTTATATATCACCATGTTCGATACTTTATATATATATATATATATATATATATATATATATATATAATACATAATACACACACACACACAGATATAGATAAAAATATTCATATATAGAACAATAAATGTGAACTAAGTATTTTAGTGACTAAATATTAGGAAGATGATTTTAATAGACTAAAGAGGGTTATAGCCGTTCGTCTTATAATATATGTATGCGACTATGTTTTGTGTTGGATCTGCAAAGTGACGGCCGGTCTGGCGTTGTCTTGCTGGAAGACGACACCTTTCCGATTGGCCAATTCCAAACGCTTGACCTCGATTACTATCGTTAACTGGTTCAACGTGGGAAGGTACTTGTCTGAATTTAGTGTCTGGTTATAGGGAAGGACATCCTAATAAAATATTACCAGATACATAGCATCAGACAGAATTTCCATTTTTCCCTATTCTTATAAGCAGTCCACTTTTCATCACATGTGATCGTTCTTATTTTCTTTTCTTTTTTTTTTTTTTAATTTTTCTTGATTTATCCCGTTGCATTGTGAGACATCCAAACATCGTGCCGAATCACGTATCCAGTTGTTTTCAAATGCCTTAATACACTCATATGAGACGTGGAGTATCTCTGCGATATCCCGTGACAGGGAGTATTTGTAATCAGCGTTTCGATTTGGTAATTAGGAATGACTGCAAAACTTCTAGAATGGGCTCGTTCTCACGCAATCAAAATTGTCACTGATGAACCCAACGAACCACTTACGAACAATATTTTTCTGCGATTCTACCATCTCCATAAAAAAGCACATATATTTTGCTGTTTTACAGTACTTTTTGTCTTTCCCATAAATAAAAGAGCATCAAATGACAAAATGCATCTTCTTTTTCGTTGGCTTTATTATTAACGTAAAAAAATAAATTTAAAATTCACAACCCTAACACAAATCGTATAGAAAGATGCGTTTAGATTCCACCTTTCAGAGCGTCTCGGTTTCATTAACTTTAGAGATTCTTGATAAAATCCAAAGGACAATCGACAATATTATTGATCCTGATCTGGTGTTTCGCCCTCAGTCACTTTACCACCTTTTTTTTATAAATAATTTCATGCTAATTGTTCGGATTAGATCTTCGGTATGGACTTTGTGAATTTAAGTGTAGTACTCGATTGGCGACAAGGTCTCATCAATTCACAAATTGAGTTGACTATATGTCGACGTAAGTTCTATGCTAACAGTTTCTTTTCTCGATTCTGTCTCTCTCTTCTGCTTTCATGTTTTCGAGCCAACTTTGATCTTCAAAAATTTAAATGCAATGTCAATCACTATCTACTGTCTTCCTGATTACTTTTTTTAAAATTTTTTTTTTATTATTCTCCCTTCTTAATGAGGTTTCTCTTCTTTCTTATTCTTTCACACTCCGTAACCCCTTGTGTCTTAGTGACTTTACTGCCTTGCATGGGGTGATATGATCAAAAAATGTATATATGCAAAACACTTCGGTCACGTGTGAAACGAAATCACGTGTTCAAACGTCGCTTATTGAAAAATAATATTAACTTTTGATTCAATCCAATATGCATAGCAGTTAAAAACTAAGATAAACTTTCCCTTTCCACACCGTCATAATTTATGAAATGCATATACATGTACCAACATACACATATCTGAAGCGTGTGTCTGTATCTGCAAATGTATGTGTTTGTATTAACATAAGCAATGTCTACTTACACTGATGACGGCGCGTTTGTAAAGTACTAGAAAATTGAAATTTTTAGAATCTTCTCCAATTTTAATTAGCTTAATTGCCATTTAAATCTTTCCCCTTCCCTCAGGCCTTGTGACACTTATACTCTGCTGATCTCAATCCAAGTACATGCAAACCATTTCCTGAAAAAAAGGGGTCATCGATTAAAATCCGATCCATTTGAAACATAAGCGCATCGAATGGTTACAGGTTGTGTGTTCCAAATCATTTAAAAGTATAAAAGCAAAGAAAACCAACGAACATTGACATAGAAACATTTCTAAATAAGAATAAAAACAGAATTAAATCATTGAAGACAAAAACTCGATCACCCTTTCTATCTTTCATCCTCTTTTTTTCTATCTGTCTCTCGATCACTCTTTCTATCTTTCATCCTCTCTTTTTCTTTCTCTCGATCACCCTTTCGATCTTTTTCATCCTCTTTTTTCTATCTGTCTCTCGATCACCCTTTCTATTTTTCATCCTCTTTTTCTATCTGTCTCTCGATCACCCTTCTATTTTTCATCCTCTTTTTTCTATCTGTCTCTCGATCACCCTTTCTATTTTCATCCTCTTTTTTTTCATTCTGTCGCTCGATCACCCTTTCTATTTTTCAACCTCTTTTTTCATCTGTCGCTCGATCACCCTTTCTTTTTCATCCTCTTTTTTCTATCTGTCTCTCGATCACCCCTTTCTATTTTTCAACCTCTTTTTTCTATCTGTCGCTCGATCACCCTTTCTATCTTTCATCCTCTTTTTTTCTATCTGTCGCTCGATCACCCTTTCTATTTTTCATCCTCTCTTTTTCTATCTGTCTCTCGATCACCCTTTCTATTTTTCATCCTCTCTTTTTCTATCTGTCTCTCGATCACCCTTTCTATTTTTCATCCTCTCTTTTTCTATCTGTCGCTCGATCACCCTTTCTATTTTTCAACCTCTCTTTTTCTATGTCTCTCGATCACCCTTTCTATCTTTCAACCTCTCTTTATCTATCTGTTGCTCGATCACCCTTTCTATTTTTCAACCTCTCTTTTTCTATCTGTCGCTCGATCACCCTTTCTATCTTTCATCCTCTCTTTTTCTATCTGTCGCTCGATCACCCTTTCTATTTTTCATCCTCTCTTTTTCTATCTGTCTCTCGATCACCCTTTCTATTTTTCATCCTCTCTTTTTCTATCTGTCTCTCGATCACCCTTTCTATTTTTCATCCTCTCTTTTTCTATGTCTCTCGATCACCCTTTCTATCTTTCAACCTCTATTTATCTATCTGTTGCTCGATCACCCTTTCTATCTTTCAACCTCTCTTTTTCTATCTGTCGCTCGATCACCCTTTCTATTTTTCATCCTCTCTTTTTTTATCTGTCTCTCGATCACCCTTTCTATCTTTCATCCTTTCTTTCATTAATAATATTTGAGCCATGATGCGTCTTCTCGGTATGTTTGGGGTTTCAGGATGTTAATTCGTAAGCCGAATTGCAAGGGAGTAACGAGTTCTTTCCTTATCGTGCTTGTAGTGCGATCATTGTTCTGATGAGCTTTCCCATTAAGCATCTCGATTTCTTGATAGGTTTACGGCCGTATCACGTTGAAACACAGGTTCCGCTACGATCACCAAAGTTAAGCAATGTCGAGGCTTGTCATTACCTAGATGCGTAGCCGCTTGAGAATACCAGGTGCCGTATACTCGGGTGGTGTAATAGATAATGGCTCAGAATTGTCAATCGGAGAGCTGAATTTTAATTCCAGTCGGATTCCTTATATTCATTTACATGCAAATATCCTTGGGAAAGGTATGGATGCACCTCTGCTCCCCAGATATGGGTTAATTAGTAAGACGAGTATCATTAAATCATTATTATTCTAAACATATTTTCTGACTTTAAATAACTTGCAATGAAAACGTCCTTTTAAAAAAGCGTCTCGATGTGGGTTTAATGGTCAACCAGACTCTGTAGTCAGTTGCAACGTTATTTTCGTAAATAATAAGTTAGTTTCCTTTTTAAAAATACTAATGAATTGACTTCTTTGCAGCCTCCTTAAGCAATTTTATAGGACAGACATGTTTACATGTTATTTGATTCATGGAACTATAGAGACGTGAAGAAGGAGACATTTTTTTTTCAATCACGTGTTTTTCTTCGTAGAAATGTTTCGCAGTAAAAAAAAAAGAATCTCTCTTCCCCACGTACACTAAATATACTAAATATACGTCCATCCATGATAAATAAATAAGTAGGTATAATTATTGTTATTCTTAATTCGAAGAAATTATATTCATTTATGATGAAAATGATTGATTTTAATTAAAGAAAGCGATATTTGTTCATCATACTGTGATAGTTTTCTTTTAGTGCTTAATAATGAAATATATAAAATAAAATTCTGAAGAATGGGATATTAAAAAAAAACAACAATAAAAAAAAAACAATCAGTCGTCGAATTACATAAAATGTGTTCAAGTTTTACTAATATTCATTTTAAATATGAAAATATATTTTTTTATTTTAATTGCATGGATTCGATTTTGAATCATTTTATATTGCAAAGCGCTCACTCAGTAATATCCAAAACTAAATACAATGCGTTATCAATAATATTTGCCTTAATATTTGCTAATTTGGTTTCGTTGATTTTATTTAGCGGCATATCAACATCTCTCTGGGTCATTAAATACCGACATCTAAATATTTTGAACACAATTTTATGGCTTCAACTACAGATAAAGATTTTGCTATAAAAATGTATCGTTGGTCATTCTATTAAAAATTGGTGTTATTGGTATTTTTTTTTATTATAAAAAAATGTATTTTTATACTTTCATAGTGTTTTGTTTTTTGTTTGAGGAGGTTCACTATTTGCCCGTAGTTGGGACCCTAAGTGTTGCAACCGCCTTGAGGTCAGGGTGAACCTGGGAGCAATAGCAATTAAGAGGTGATTCCATGCTTCTCACCCCCCCACCATCTCCAATCAGAAGCTTTGTTTATTGTCATATACTAAGGACTTGATTTACAATTAGTCTTTACAATTAAAACTAGTACACACAGATATGAATATAACAAAACTAACAGATAATAAAACAACCGTGGTATTAACGATAACAGTTGCATTATAAGCGTAAAAATTAAACTTATACATAAGATCAGTTGAAAAAAAGCTGGGAAAATCCGATACTCACAAGGCAGATTGAAAGCGAGAGGGACAGAGAAAACAAAGCATAAGCTATCTATTAAGCGTGAATAAATGGTTGGCAGAGTAGATTTAGGAGAGATATCAAAAAGACAAAAATTATTAATTATTACAAATAACAGGAAACTGTGAAGAGCCATGATGGCCTACGTAGTACATAGAATAAGAAGCGTGAAATGGGAGCAAACACACGTATATCAGGTTTCAAATAGACGGCCCGGGGGATTATTCTGTCTTAGAAAATAATACGCACTGAACATTGTTTTACCTTTTCTATTGAATATTCAAGAACTTATTACCGACTCATTAATTTAGGCTACAGGCTTTCAAGGACTTAGCATATCATTTGAATATTTAATAAAATAGGTGATTGGAATAAGGATCTCCAAGGTGGATTAAAAAAAACCTCCCTGCCCGTTTATTTGAAACTCGTGTGTGTGTATTCATATATTCAGGCGATTTCTTTTAATCTTTGAGGCGCCATCAGTTTTTAACGAATATACTCAAAATGGGTGTCGGAAGGCACAAAGTATTCAGACGTTTTCCAGTTTTTATAGCAATTTATTAAACGTAGCTTAGATTTGGTACAATACCGAAAGTATGGAGCAACCCAGGGAGGTTCAAACTCTCTAGTCAGTCGTAATTGATCAAGCGACGTCGATGTTCCCTATTCTAGTTTTTATATATAACTTAAAGGAATCATTGGCATCTGGATGTAACACTCAGCATTGGTGTTGTCGAATATGCACGTTAAACCAACACAAGGAGGAGTAGTTTGAGACATTCCGGCTCGCTTGTCACATATGCCAACCCGAGGAGTGCTGCTGAGTGGAATCATAACACACTGTGCAGTATGCGATCAGTCTTTCCAAAATGTGTGGCCGGTCCCACACAAACCTTCACCAATTTGAACAAATCATCTGTGTAGCCCGTCCTACAGATTGTCTTATATAATACTAAAATGATGGAGTCTTTTACATTGAAACCAATGGGAGTGTGCTACACACACACACACACATATATATATATATAGAGAGAGAGAGATAGATAGATAGGTAGATAGATATTGATGCATGTTTCATTAAATAATATAGACAAGTTTTGTCTATTTATTTTATGTAAATTCTTTTCATATTCTCATAAGCTTGATAACATTATCATTAAACGAAGAAAGAAAATCACAATATTGATACATATTTTTTAATCGTATCTCAGCTTTCGGCTTACATAAGCCATTATCAAATATAGTTACCGAATTTTCCAATCTGGTTAAAATTACCGAATTTGTCTAAATTCATAAAATTGAACTTTTATGCCAAATGTTTGGTGCCTGGAAAATTCGGCAACGGAAGATTCGGTTAGTAACTGAATTTTCTGTTACCGAATTTTCTGGGCAACACTGCAACAATATCAGTGCCGTACTTTCTGGTTGGTGGGACTAAGACCTCCTCTAATATTTTAAAATATTTTTTTAAATAAGTAAAATCGATTCATCTACGTTAAAGTTCTTGTATATTCTTTTCAAATTATTATTTTAATAATAATTAAAAAAAAAAAAATATTTGGGAAAGAGGTCTAGTCCCCTAAACCTTCTTTTTATAAATACGGCTCTGTTTTTTGTTGTAGGGCTTTTTTCTGGACCCCCATGATTTTCAGTTATTTAAAAATATAAGAGGGAGGATTAACCCCAAATCCCCAATCCAGAAGCGACCTAAAATCAATTTTTAATCGACTTATATTTCATAGTTACCGAATTTTCGTGAAAAGTGACAATTCAGGTTGCAGGTCAAATTTTCCAAGTATCCAAAAAACAGGACACAAATGCAGACATTTTGAGCCAATATACAGGGGCTAGAATTGTAACAATTGAAGAATTGTCCCAATATCCAGAAATGTGAATTATTTCGCAAATTCAACACGGTAATTCCCTCATCAGTATTTGTTGAGAGACTATTCAACCTTCTTGGAAGAGGATCTTTTTTTCGAAAAAACCGTCACAGCCCTAAAGACGAAAATTTCGTAAAACAATTATTACTAAAGTTAATCTTCAGTTTGTTACAATAAAATTTGTAAAACTAAATTTACTGTTTATTGAAGCAATTCTTTTGGAGTTAGGAATGTCATGTGAATTGGGGAAATTTTGGTATGTTTGGTGGGGGGGGGTAAAAGAGTATGCTGAGAGGCTAAATGTTAGTTCTTATTAAATTTGAGTACCAAATATCTCACACCCAGCATATTAATTGCTAAAATGTCCAACGTTTATGAAAGAAAGTAGATTTTAACTATGAAGCGCACCCCCCCCCCAAAAAAAAAAGCCGCTCTTTTTGTTTTTTAATAGAGTTGGTGCTGGAGCAGCTCCTTTTTGAAAACGGGGAGCGTGAGGGGAGCCAGCTCCAATTTTGGGTATGGGAGCGGAAGTTAGAGCAGTTCCAAAAATAGTGAAGCGCGTAAAGCCCTATATAACTAAATGGGTAAATATAGGTAGATGTACGAGCGAGCGATATACAAATACATACTACAGTGTAAGAAAAACTGCACATTGTTAAATAACAGAGCTTATATATATATATATATATATATATATATATATTATATAGATTGATTGATAATATTAGTGGTTAATATACAAATACATTTCTTTTTTTATAAATATATATACATACATACACACACACACACACACACACACACACACATAATATAATTCCAAGAGGATAGAAACCAGGTAGAACTCAATGTCTAGGACAGAGTAAGGATATAATAAAAAGGCTTAAACACTAATATTCCATGGTCATAATTGATTCCATTGGAATCGTAAATACGATCCAATTCATCAGACCTACAAATATATATGAAGAAATATACTCTTAAGATTTGCTATATTTATGGGATAAAGTGCTCAATATCAGAGATAGAGCGTGTGTAAATATAAAAGTGAACATTGAAGTAAACACTTAGAGGCGACAGTCTGTTTCATGCTAGATGCAATCATCGTGGCCTAACGATTGCATCTAGCATGAAACAGACTGTCGCCTCTAAGTGTTGACTTCTATGTTCACTTTATATATATATATATATATATATAAAGACGAGATTAAAAAAAACTACTTAGCTGACATTTTGCACATTTGCCTTGATAAAGCCCCCTTAGAGAACGAAACGCGTCGGCTAAGAATAGTTTCACCTATTGTCTTTTTATTCATTTTATTCCTTAACAGACACACTTTCTTTCTTTTTTATATATATATATATATATATATATATATATATATATGTACTGTATATACAAGTTCGATTAAAGATCAACGAAAGTTCTTTCTTATAGATTTTTTTTTTTATTATTTCTATATTTCGGACAATTTTTCTAATTTCGGTTAGATATTTGGATGTTAATAAGTCATGTACGGGAAATCAGGAGAATGGTTTGAAATATAGTAAAAAGTAAATAAAAGATCGTTAAATAACTTTTATTGGCTCTTTAACCGAACTTATATATACACGAAGGTACATCTAGAAATACCGAGGCTAATGATGAAAACCTCTTTTATTTAACACACCAAATAGGTGTACTTTAGATAACTTATTTCCTTGTCAAGGCCGTTAATTCAGTAGTGAATATTAATGACATAAATCGGACATGAAATAGTCAAAGATTTAGATTGTACAGACTGCGGCAGAAATACCTCCCACATAATGGTAAGACATTTGTGGCAATGGTGTCTTCATCTAGCTAATATCTTACCATTATCAGGGAGGTATATTATTTCTGCTGCATCCTGTATTTTGGCTAGTAATGACGTGGCAATCAGTTCTGGAGAAGAAAACTATGAATTCTAAATTGTAGAGAAAATAACAAAAAATTCCAATAGTGCATAGCAATTCTCAGGTAATAAAGAAAAGGAAATTGTGGAGAGACATGATCGCTTACATCCTGATGGGACATGGTATTATGAACAAAAGTCAGCAATACAGATATCGTTCTAATGGGGGATGCTAAGAATACCACAAACAGAGAATGTGAGCAATGGGGAAGTCTTAAGGAAAACAGGAACTACAAGGAAACTTATACTTATAATCAGAAAGAGACAGTTGATATTTATGCAATCTATAAATGAGGATTGAGAGCCGAGGGAATTTCACATTTACAGGACATATGAAAGACAAGAAAATTAAGGGGAAATAGCATGTAACAGGTTTGAAGGAAATAAAGAAAAGGAAAAAGTTACTTAAAGCAACAAAAAACAGGAAGTTGGAGAGACATGATTCCGCTTAAACATCCCCTGAAAAAGGCCGGGAATAAATTCAAAGTAATTTTTCGTTGAAAGTAAAGCGGTCATTTTCACTACAGAATATCGTCGTCGTAAGAATATACTAAGGGAAAACATTGTTAGAGAGTTCAAAAATTGAAGAATTCGTATAAACCAACTGTGAAATTTTGGAAATTCGTTTCTAATTTATTCATCTGAAAATACAAAAATTCTTTTAAAAAATTTTCTCCAGACAAAAAAAAAAAAATAATAATGAACGTTTCTCGTTTCTAAAGCAAACTATTTTTACACGTATGATCCTCCTTAATGAATATTGCCAATGGTTTAAAATGCTGAGAACCTTACCTTCAACATTAAATTAGGCGTGCCATGATGGTCCGCGGGTCATAGTTTCCCCATGACTGTTGTAGAGAGTCATGAACACTAACGCCCTGAAAGAACGTAGCATAAAAACGAAGTGAATGTATTTACACGATTTACATTGTTCGGACTGTTGCCACCATTCATTGCCATATTCACAACGTTTCGGCCATTGTACACTCCGGCCTTCTTCAGTCGATTGGAGTTTTGAACTGACAGATCGCGACAGCTATTAGGGAGATGTGATTAAATATACTTTAATGTTTAAAAAAAAGAATTCTATTATTATTGTTTAGGTAATAAGCATTATAAAAGCACAAATAGCTATATTTTGGAAAGAGGAATTTTCGACAATATACGCATTTTTTATGTATTTATGGCTATTTTTTAAACTTTTATCAAAAACGATATTCTTGTACATGCAGTTATGGATAATATTATACATTAATTGCTAATTTTTTAATTAATACTTATCTGTGTTCAGTTGTTGACATTAATAGCTATCTGTTGGTGTGTTAAAATTTTGCAATAATAAAAATTTAAATTTATTCTCTCTGATAGATGTTACGATCTGTGAACCCTTTATTTCGTCCACTGGGTGAGATTGTTCCAGTTCCACGTGTCATGCCTCTTCCGGATGTCTCACTATAAGTTATCTCCCTTTAACTCAATTCTCCAAGTTTTTGTTCACCTCTGCTGTAGCCAGGTATTGAATTCACAACCCGTTGGGTTACAGTTACTGTATTCAACCAACGCTTTTATCCACTGGGTCATGTGTAAATTATTACAATACCTCATCTCAGAAATATAGACAGATATTGAAATGAGTGTAGTTATTTGAATGCAATCTAATGTGAAGTAAGCTGTTATATAGGGTCAGTTTTTACTGTGAGCATATTGTGGGTTTTTTTCCATCTCCTCAATAAATTCTCCGTCCTGGGTATGACGATAAACTGCATCCGCATCCTGGGTAAGACGATAAACTACGTCCAACAGCAAGGCCTCTGATTAGGAGGTTTTGAGGAGCGTGGAACTGCCTCTTAATTGCTGGTGTTCCCAGGTCCACCCTGACCCGGGGTGGTAGCTCCTGTTAGGGTCCCAGCTATGGGTAAATAGTTAAACCCCAAACTCAGATTTCGTCCTGGGTATGACGATAAACTACATCCGCGTCCTGAGTAAGACGATAAACTACGTCCAACAGCAAGACCTCTGATAATACGCTTTTGAAAAATTAATGTTGCCAGCTATACGTTTTTGAAAAAAATAATATTACCAGCTATATATTTTTGAGGAAAAAAATATTAACAGAAATAGATTTTTGACAAAACAAAAATATTACCAGAAAAAAAAGTTGTCGGCATTAAATAACCCATTGAGGTTGATATGCCGTAAAACAAACCAAACGAAATCAATAAATTCTGTCGATTGAAATCCTAAGTAAAAACTACTGAAAGAAAACCTAAATGTAACTTCCTTCCTATTGTCAACCACACTTTTCTTGTCTTGTTATTATATACCTTATAGAGCTGTTTTGTAACTGGTAATTCATAGTTTATCTTAACAGCATTAGATCAGCAGATGACACACTGTTGGTAACAGAAAGAGAAAGGAAACTACAGGAAGTAAAGGAAAGCAAGAAGAAAGGACTAAGCATCAAGTTTAAGAAAACAGAAACAAACCAACATTCGAATTACAAATTAGAGATACCAAAATTAAACAAGTGCAAAAATTAAAATATCTAAGAAGATATTTTATCAGAGGACGAAAAATGCGGCACCAAAATCCGAAGGCGCATTAGCATAGCGAAAGATGCCTTCTAAAAGTTAAGCAAAGTATTAAGAAACTGGAAAAATTCCACTGGAAACAAAGAAGAGTACTGGACTTTTATTTAATATCGTTACTCCCATATGGAAGTGAATACTGGCCCATTTTATCGCAGATGGAAAAGAGACTTGAGGCAACAGAAATTTGGCTCTACAGAAGGATGCTGAGAATATCATGGACTGGGCACGGGATTAACGACGAAGTTTTAGAGAAAATGGAACCAGAAAGGACACATATACGTTGCATCAGAAAAAGATAGTTGAAATATCTGGAGTCATAATGAGAAAGAAGGGCTTGGAGAACTTGACACCCACGAGACACAGTGAAAGGACAGAGGGAAGCAGTGCATAACTTACCTAACGAGCTTATGGAAATGGTTGACATAACAGAGATTAGGTGGTAGAGCAAATACACAAACTTTACTCAGGCCTACAAAGGACAGGAAGTCGTGGAGAGCCATCATCGCTTACATCTGAAGGGAGTCGGCACTTAGAAGAATAACAATTTATAGTTTACAGTGGGACTACTTTATCCGCGGTATAATTTTCCGTAAGTTGCAAAAAGTAGAGACTTTAAACAATTATGTAGGGATATCAGTAATTCCATAATGTAATGATGAATAATATAAATATTTATTTGGCATAAAATATTTGTCAACATAATCTTCTTTGTGAATGTACTTAATCCAACAGTGAATATTAATCGCATATATCGAACATTGTGGAATTAAAATTTCAGATATAATTTAATATCAAAGCATCTTCATCAGACTATGTACTTTTTGATACGCTCTCAAACAATTTTAAGAATAAGTAGAGTGCTTATTTGTTTTTGTTTAGCAGAATATTAACCATTTACAGGTTATTTTAATGCCGAAATATAACTAATTTGTACACAATTTTAATTTATTTTTGGAAATAATAATGCTTTAGTGACACAAGTCTTACTAATTAACCCATAGCTGGGGCGAGAGGTAGATTCATAGTTTTCCCAAGGGTATTTGCACGTAAGTGAATATAACGAACCCGACTGGAATTGGAACTCGGTTCTTCGATTAACAATTCCGTGCCATAAGACATTACACCACCCGGTATTCCCAAGCGACCACCCGTATAGGTACTGACTAGGCTCGACGTTGCTTAACTTCAGTGATGGTATGGTAAACTGTGTTTCAACGTGATATGGCCGTAAGCATAAGTAGAACGTAGTTAGGATAGGTGTGTGTGTGTTTGTGTGTGTACACAGACACACACTAAATGTCTTATTTACGCATTTAATCTTTTTCAAATTCCCTGATGATCAATGTCTGAAAACATTTTCTGGCGATACCTTGTTCGTGAATATCTCTTCTTCCAATTGAGCTCAGCCAACACTTATACGATTCAGAGCAAGCATAATTTTGCTAAATGTTCGCAGCAGGCAAACAGTCATTCTTTGTCGGTCATATAAATCATTTTTCTCATAAAATATTCAAGGGTCTGTTGGGGATTTACCAAATCTCTTTAACTACAAGCACTGAGCGTTTTACGACAGAATTTTGAAACTGGTCATTGAGAAGTACCGAAAGTTGTTACCCTTATTAACAATAAAACAAAAGTTCTTTTTTTCTTTCTTTCTTTTTTTTTTTATTCTTTCTTTCTTTTTTAATTTGTCATGAATCGGACTTCATAACTCAAATGTTTTTCATTTAAAGAAATCTTGAAGACAATGCAAATCGATTCCTGTAGAGGAATGTCAGGCAGATCTAGAAGCATTTACTCAACCTAACCCAGTCCGGTTCAGATCTGAATTCCAAACGCGGTTAATCCACACGACTTTACTTGAATAATCAAAGAATCGTCTAATTCCTATCCTCCAGCAGGTTGGAGCAGCAAGTGTTGAAACACATACAAAGACAATCGGAAGTAAAGATACTGATTTCTCGATCAGCAAGAGGTGAAGAAAAAAAAATACAGCATGAAGCAAAGAACGAATCAGTGGTGAGATCGATCATTTTTTTTGTGTCCTTTCCAGATGTGGTCGATCATAGCCCTCCACAACTTTCTGCTTCTTGTTGCTCTAAGCATCGTTTGAGTTTCTACCTCCCCTCTTTGTCCTTGCTTTGCCATCCATTCACACAAGCTCTCTGGGCAGGTTGCTCGTCGTTTAGCCTCTGCTCCGGTTTCCTTCAATGTGCCTCGTGAGTTACATTTTCCAAGCCTTCTTTCCTCATAATGTTTCCCAGAAATTTCGACTGTCTCTTTCTGATTCTAAGTGTGTTTCTTTTAAAACTTCCTCTTTGCTCACCTGGTCTGTAGATCCACACCTGCCGCTTCGTATTTCTTCTTCAGCTGCAAGGAAATTAGTCTTTCTTTTTTGTTTTCCACCAATTCGCCTTAAGCAAAGTGATAATGCCACTAAGATGCAAATGGCTACTGGGAGTGAAAGAGAATGAAAAGATTTTTAGAAGGAACCGGAAATACAATTCTAACACCTCTACTCCTGTTTCAAAGACAGGGGAGGGTGTAAACCGGACGACAGGCAAACTCATCTACTCCTAACGAAGAGAAAAAATAATTAGTAAATAAAATTTCAGAATTTACAGGGAGAGTTTAGAAGTGTAGAATTGAAGTAGACTTTAAAAGAAACTGGAAATCCAATCCTAAACAGATAACAAGGGATAAACCTTATAATCCTGTTCAAAAGACTGAGGATGAGTGTAAATCAGACGATAGGTGTACCTGTCTATATAGATCTCCTTTACAAATAAGAACGTCCTTTAACTTCCTTGCTATTTAAGAATAGTGAAGCACTAGGAGAAGTGGAATCTCACCTTTCCCAAAAACAAACACTTCTAGCTGGAGTTTGAACTCGGCTCAGCTATTCCATCCACCGTGCCTATAATCGTTGGGTCAATCGAGCTATAGTTGTTAAAAATTGACAATATCTTAAAGTCTACAGATTAAGGAATATTTAACAAGATAATTACCGTAATCTTTTGTGTATAAATAGAGAGTCTAAGACGCAGTTAAAAAAGCAGAGAAATTCCAGGGAAAAAAGAGCTAATTTTCATGTATAAAACGCAAAGAACATGAGCAAAAAAAAAAAAAAATGGCCAAAACTTGTGAAAAAGGAAAAGAAAAAAATGAAAAAAATAAAGGGACATTTTGTTTACTTTTGTGATTCGTATGCATAACGTGAACGTGGTGGCTGTTGGGTATAATACCATTAAATCACATTGAGAAAAATAAGTTGAAATAAAATTAAGTGAATATAAACTCGTTTATTTTTTTTTTCATTTTTAAATTTTGCGTCTTTTTGTATATTTTTTTGATTATAAATTAAACAATATTTTTTTTTTTTACCTTTGAATGATTCCCGAACTCACCTAGGTGTCTGAACGCAAATGAATCTAGAAAAAAGTACAAAACCGTATAAGATTTATTTTCTTTTGTTGCAATACGCCATTAGATAGATACTACATCTTCCGTAAACAAATAAATCTAATTTGAATTAATTTTTCCGTTTTGAGTCATGGAAAAATAAGATTTAGTTCTAAACTGAATTATAAGACCCGACAGGATTTTGAAAGAAAAAAAAACTGCGTCTTATGCACATGGGATTGCACTATTTTAATGCATGATTTGCGAGAGGAAATAAGACATTTTAACAGTCCTATTCTGTCAGTGACATCATCAGAGCCGTTTCAACTTGAAGGCACACTGCAAATCAATGTGATTTCTCATCTTGGTAAACAATCATTTATCTCCAAATCTCCCTGTTCTGTGATAATTCACGAAACTGCTACAGGTATTCCAAGATCTTCATGGCATTTAAAGGGAATTAAGGAGTTTAATTGTCAATTCTTTTAATATCGTTGATCACTGGGAATGCTATGGTTGTTCGTCGTTTTCCGCAAAATTGTTGCTCAAGTAACATTTACATTGATTCTTTATAATTTCTAATTCCTTTCTTCATGATTTTGAATATATGTATATAGTAGGTTTATTTTCAATACAATTTATTTACAACGGCTTTATTCATATAATGCATAATATTCTCTCAGTACCTCATACTGTCAACCACATTCGGTCAGTAACTTTTAGATATATAAAATTTAATAATCAAAATAACTGCTGTATAAAGATTTCAGATGCATTCCAAAACATATATATATATATATATATATATATATATATATATATATGCATATATATATATATATATAACCAATGTGACAGGCTGCGGAAAAAGAAACTGCCAAATAGGAGCTTTAAAATTAGATTATAATTATGCAGACACAGTAGAAAACACATCATCGCTAGATATAAAGATTTTTTTTTACCAATTGTTAGTATAAGTTAAAAAAAACTTCTTGGAATCTGTATCGTCTGAAAATAGATAAATACTAGATTTTGCAACAGGTTATAGTCAGCCAAATTAAAAATGTCAGTTCATCTTCACACACACGTGTCAAGCGGCTCTCTTTACAAAAACAGGAACTAAAGATCAAAAGACTTAGCGATAATTGAAACTACATGACATCTCTAAGTCAAAACTTTATTTTTTCCTATAATTTTGTTATTAATGACTTTTATTAAAAGATATTAATTTTGTCCACATAAGACACGTCCATGTTTACGACCATTTCAAAGGATATGACTGTTTATTATGAAAAGATACATCTACAAAACTTAACTTTTTTTTTTCAAGAAAGTTGCATGTAAAAATATACGAGAACTGGAGTTTTAAATTTTATGCAAATTATTGGAAGTTTATTTATTAGATTAATTATAACTATGACTAATTACCAAAGCCGACATAAAATGGTGAACACATAAAACAGAATTTTACATTCAGCTTAAGAAAAAATATTCTGTTAATATAAACTTTATATATATAAAGTCGTATATGCTCAGCTGGCATCGTTCTTATAACACTTGCATTTAGATACAGAATTGTTAAATTTCTTCCTCGATAAAACTTTTATGATTACTTAAAAATGGATGGTTACATATATATACTAGCAGTAGAGCCCGGCGTTGCCCGGGGATGTAACAGTAAGAGATAGATCAAGTATCAACCATCATAAAGACTGAAAAATAAAATTGACAAAGATTATTGTTTAAGGTTGACGGACACGCATGTCTTAATTATTTTTTTTTTCTTTTACGAATTGGTCAAACCCAAACTCAAACATTGAATTTTATTATAAACAATTGTCTTGTAAATGGAATTTTTAAAGCATTCTGAATGTAAAAATAAAGAAAAAATGTGTGCAAGACAATAAGAAACACTAAGTGCCCCCCCAGTGAAGTTTTGTTGAAATCGGTTGAAAAATGTGGGAAATCCGATCCCATATATAAACGAACACACACACACACACACACAACCTGGGTTTTATAATAAGTATAACTCGATAAGAGTTGTCCCCGTTTCATTCTCGTGATGATGCCTTTTAATCCTGTTTTCAAATTGATTTTGTGCAAAATCAATTGTGTTTTTCTAATTTTTGGCGCTGTCAGAACCACCGCAAGGTAATTTTACGTAGTCCTGTGAAGTTTTGTTGAAATCGGTTGAAAAATGTAGGAAATCCGATCCAATATATAAACGTACAGACACACACTCACACACACAACCTGGGTTTTATAATAAGTATGATATATATATTTGTTTGTGTGTATACGCCAATGCGAGAGGCTACAATTAAAACTACCATTGGTTTTCTTTACAAGTGGCACATTTTCACTTCAGATATATAGGCACCTCAGCATAAAAAAAAAAATGTCCGTCATTACAGTTTTACCTGCTGACGTTGTTGCAAGATTTCATTCTTTTTACGATGCTAGATTCTTAAAAATATAATCAATTTAAACAAGCTATTGTGCCACCATATGACAAGACAGTCTGAAATACCATGCAGAGAGTTTACTATGAAAATATATTTGTTAATGCTATGGTCCTCAAGGTCGGATGCGATCCTGACCCCATGGATTTGTTTTTGCTTTATTATCTATGGATTACTATACGATTACTATATGATCTATGAATCATTATATCATTACTATATGATTATCTCTGAATTACTATATTATGACTAAATGATTATTTTTGTAATTCGTCACACGTACATAATATAAGTAATAACAGAAAGACTAAATAATAACGTCTTTAAATATCAAATGCAATTAGAATTTTATTAAAAACAAAGA